CGCGTGGCCGGCCTCGCGTGGCCGGCCTCGTGCACGCCTGGCAACTTCTCAGCGCGCCGTGCCGGGACGCGGCCTTCCCCTCTCGTCTGTGCCCACAGAGCCCGCTCCAGTTCTTCCCTGGGCGCACAGACGGCCCCCGAATTCTGCTCCCGCTTTCCTCCTCGGCCTTCCCTGCGATGCCATCTTTTGGGGCCCCGTGTGGGCAGCGGTTTAGGCAGGCACAAGGCATGCTGTGAGGGAGGGTGGCTAGCGCTAGTGGCTGGCCTTCGAGCCCTGCCCGCTGGGTCGCCTCCCATCCCACCTGCGCTCGGTCCTCTGGGCTGCTCTGTGCCAAACCTGAGCAGAAGACATTTTGGAGAGTGCCAGGGGTGTGTCAGGGACCCATTCCCACAGGTTGCGCTCTTGGGAAGGCCCTGCTAAGCAGCTGGATGGGCAAGAAAAGATCCACCTGCCCGTGCCCTCCTCTCCGCTGGTTTTCTCCCTGTGCCCTGCGTTTGCTTGGTCATCCTCCCGGGCAGGAGTCAGAAAAAATGGCTTGTGTTTTCTAAACACTTCTGGTAGGAGCTGGTGCTCAGCCAGGGTCAGAATCCAGGTTGGGGGCATCCGTTTCAAAAGGCTCAAGGTTTCGAGATCTTCAAGCTGGGTCTTCCTAAGCTGCGTCTTCCTGCCTGCCCCCCCCCCCCCCCGGGGGTCCCGGTGACTTGATCTGGGAGCGAGAACAGCCCTCGCCCACTTCCTGCCATCTTTACAACCTTCCTTCTCTTCCCGGGCAGGGTGCATCACCCTCAGCTGTACCCTGCAGTGCCTTTTGAACGCAAATCACCAGCCCTTTTTCACTTCCTTCTTATGCGCATTTCCCGACTACCTTTGGTGGCTTCCAGTTTTGCTGCGTGGTCCAAATTTCCTCTCTTTCTCCCCGAGAAACACACAGAAAACATTCCCTGGCCACACCTCCTCTCTTATCAGCGCACATACATACGTTGACGTTTTCCTTTCCCTGCATTTCCCCGTGGGTTGCACTTTTTGCCCTGATCTGCAATCTCCAGTCTTCCTGACCACACTTCTCCATGCAACTTCAGCATTCGCCTTGCACGTTTTCTTCGCCTTTCCCTCCCCCCCCCCCCCCCCCCCCTGTCTTGCTGTTTTCACACTTCCTAGGGCCACTATGCTAATTGGGCTGCAAGCCTTCATGCAAATGCACACCCATCGCTAGAGGCTGTTGAAAAGGCAGGGGTGGAAGAGGCGATGTGGACGTGGCAAGTCACAATGCTTCTACGCCGTTGTGCTTTGAGCACACGTTTGGCTTTCTATAAAGGTGGCCGTGAGGGGTAATGTATTTGTGGTGCAACTGGGGAGGCGCGAGTGTGCAGGTGCAGGGCTCAGTGTTGCACCCAGTCTTGGGAATTTGGCGGGGGGGCATTTCGTATGCAACGGTGCGATTCGTGGGAGTGTGTCCTGAGGGACTGCAAGTTGAGTAACCGCAGCAGAGAGAGTTTTGCGTCCTCCTAGGTGTGTTGGTGCAGAAGGGGCTTCCTTACAGTTCTGGGCCTGTTTTAACAGCAACGTGGCATCACCCTTTTTTACAGCACAGGCAGTGGGAGGAAGAATATTGCACATGCAGACACTTGTGCCTTTTAACTGCTTTCAAGACGCACGCTAAACTTTGGGGATTTTGCTGGAGTATGCAAGCAAGTGGGTGTTCATTTCAGATTCCCCCCTCCCCCAGGTCGGAGTTTCAGAGGCCCTGGAAACTCTGATGCGCTCACAAAACCCGCCTGGCCTTTCCATCTCCCCGCAGCCAGGACTGCTGGCTGGAAGAATTGCACATCTGGCACCTTCCTCAGGCCGATGCCCTTCCAGATGTGTGGGCAGCAGGCCCCTTAATCCCAGGGCCCCTTGCAGGCATGGTGGGCCAGCACCCTTCCCAATGGCGGTGACCCATTTTCAGGGAGCGTGGCCATGAGCTGCGTGCCCGTAGACCTGGCGTTCTCTCCCATCTCTGAACCGCTGGAAACTTTGAAAATGCCGTACAGGAGAAGGAGAAATAGCAGCGTGAGTGCCCTCCGGGCGCTGTGGTTGTGGCAGTAATAATGCCAGGGCCAAAAATAACCACTATATGGTGCCTTCGAGTATTCAGAGCCCGTCCCCTGTTTCGTGGCTGAATCCCTTTGCTCTTCTTAAGGGTGTCCCCTGCCTAATTTTGTACCCCGGCTTGCGTTCTGGGGGTGCCGTTGAAGCCCTGGGCGCCCCACCAGGCCGACCCGCTCATCCCACGCAGGGCACAGCAGGAACGTTCTGGAACCCGGGAATCTTCCTGCAACCCGCGGTTGCTCCAGCAGCCGGTCGGGGTCTTGGGTCAAGCCGGGAGCAGCCTTGTCCTGATGCTGGGTCTGCTGGGGGCGGGGGGCAGCGCGAGAGGCCAGTTGTGTTTCCCCGGGAGAATCCCAGCCTTGCGGATCGTCAGGGTCGCCTCGCCCTCCCTCCCTCCCTCCCTCCCTTTGTGCTGGGATTGTTTTCTACCAGTTTAGCCCGGCCTCTTTCGCTGCTGCTAACAGGAACAGGCGCTTTTGCATCAAAAGGTCATCCTCGCGTGGAAAGCTTCCCAGCCGAGCGGGTGGCTGTCGGAGCCGTCACAGGGGCCTTTCTGGACACGAGAGCTTCACTCTGGCGCGAGACGTGCTCTGACCTTGGAGATTACAGTGGTTAAATGCAAATAAAGAGTATTCTTAGGTTGATTCAACCCCCCCCCCAACTCGCTGGTTAGGCTCTAATCCAGTGTTTCTCAACCTTGGCAGCTTTAAGATGGGT